AAAACAAATCTGTGAGCGCACCGAAATTCAATTTCATAGGGCAACAGCCACTTACCGCGGCATTCGCTCGATTCGTCCTTTCGATTCTCTTCAATTTAAACTACTACATTCACATTCACCACTCGTTGACGCGCTGCAAAATCGTGCAAAATCAACAAAACTCCAAAGACCCAATTCTAATTTAATTTAATTTCGTTAGAGTCCAACTAACTAAATGGTTGTTATGTTGTTGATAAACTAGCGATTGTTGTTGTTGTTGTCTTTTGGCTGGGCTCCGCTTGATGTGTCAAGCTGTTTTTCGCGGATCGATAACTGATAAATAAATTTTTTTTGGCGCCATGGCTGGGTGGCTGGGAGTCGCCAATGCTAAGACGTTTTGACATTTTCAGTCTGAACGATTTGCCCATTCCATCCAAGCAACAGCTGGGTCGTGTGGTCAGTTGATGTCTGCTCCATTTTATCGAATATCCTATCTGAACAGCGAACGAATATCTGACGGATAATCAGCGTTGACTTTGCATAGTTGAAATCCTAAAAATATATATACACACATACATATTTAATCATTCACATAGAACGAATAATCGTAGCTAACCAAAACGGTCGGGAAACAAGTCACGTAAATGAATTTTGTTTTTAAATTGGAAACTTCAAGAACAAAATATTTACTCTAAGAGGACAGTTAGTGTTAGTGATTGAAAGCAGAGGTAGAAAGATTTAGATAAATCAAAAACAATCAGCCTGTTTTTGAAAAATCAGTTGGTCTCACGTCCGAGCCTGGTTTTTGCCGTACGAAAATCTGGTTACAAATGTCCAGCGAAAAAGTGCTTCTCTACGCTGTTGAATGACGAAACAAAGCAGAACCCGAACACATGTAAATGGATGAAGCTTACGTCCTCGGATGAGAATACTTCAGTGAAAAAGTGTTTCATTTGGCACCCATGGGTTTAGGCAACGAATGCAAGGGCGCCCAAGAACATATCGGGAGGGCAAACTACTGAGGGACCCCTCTGCACTGTTTCAGAAAATTTTTAACTGATTTTTAAAAAATTCGTATCGTTGTAAAGGTGATTCAAAAAAATTTACAAAAAAATTACTAACCGATTTTTAGAAGGTCGGTATCGTTATAATGGCGATTAAGCCCCCTTTCTTGTGATATGCATATTTGTATACTTCCTGAATAAATTTTTTTTTGTCTAAAATATTTTTTTTTTTATAAAAAAAGTTGATTTTTGCATTAAATGTGTTTTTTTTCAATTTTTAAAGAAAGGGGGTTTAATCGCCTTTATAACGATGCCGACCTTTTAAAAATCGGTTAGTAATTTTTTTGTGATTTTCTTTTTTATAAAAAATGTGTTCTTTCCTTTAAATGTGTTTTTTTTTCAAATTTTTATATACGAAGTATACAAATATGCATATCAGAAGAAAGGTGATTTAATCGTCTTTACAACGATACTAATTTTTTTAAAAAACAATTAGTAATTTTTTGGTTTAAAAATTTTCTTTTATAAAAAAAAGGTATTTTTTCATTTAAATGTGTTTTTCCTAAAATTTTTATTTACGAAGTAAACAAGTATGCATATCGGAACATTTTTTAAAAATCAGTTCAAAATTGTTTCCACCATAAGGAATTGAATTTTTCGAAGACCTGAGCTTTGACCCCTTATAGCACCTGTAATATAAGTTTGCACAAAAAAGGTTATATACCATTTAAATAAGAGCAAAAGGAGGACTACGTTTATATTTTTCGATTTTTAGTTATTTACATGCAATAATTAAATATAATTTTTTACCAAGGGTCCCATTTCGAACTTCGAAGGCCTATATCTCGATTTCGGAGGCCAACTTAGCAGCTAAAATGGTTCGAAATTTTAAAAGCCAAGCCTGTCGTCTAAGAAAACTTTTTGAATTATAAAATGAACGACGACAAAGTGTTCTTGTTCCTGTTGGCTTACAAAATTCTCTATACTCAACAGAAATCGTTATACTATAAATCGAATTGCTGCACAAATATTGTATGTGTGTATGTGTATATCGCTAGCTTAGAGTAAAAAGTTTCTAAGTCTAGTTTTTCAAATTTACGAGGATAATTAAAATCTTCCTACCCCATTTCCTTAAAAGCACTAATTTTGCCAAAAAGTCACGCTAAAACAAGTCCAAACGACTCAAATTCCCCAACGTTGATGAAAAGTTTTTTGTATTCTTTGGGAATTACCACATTGTCGGTTCCTATTTTGGTTAAAAATCGGGGCTCGAAAATAACTCTTAAGCGAAAAACACATTATTTTGGTTACCCTTTGAGTTTTATATTTAATTTCAAGAAATAAATCTCCTTCACTGAGATTTCCTTAGGAGACTTATTTGCAATGGTAATCCGGGTACACGGATATACGGTTATTTTTACACGAGTACCCGGATAGATGGTTTTGTTTGCCCGTGTATATGCATAGAAGTGATCTTTATCCGAGTACTTGAATAGCGGGTTATATTTTCCTGGTACCCGGGTAGTGGGTTTTGTTATTCGGGTACCTAGCTAGCGGGTTACTTTATCCAAGTAACTGGGTAGGAGGTTTTATTTATTAAGGTAACCGGGTACTGGGTTATTTTTATAGGTGTACCCGCATAGGGATAATCTTGATTCGGATAGTGAATTGCCCAACCTGCCTGAGTTATAGATCAAAAATGAGGTAAAAGTTAAATTGTACTTCTTCACTGACAAGTACTTTTATTTCGCATCGGTAACGGTTTCCCTGTGAGAGCAACCAATAAAACATTATTAAAAAGGTTTCGGTTAATCTCCGACTGCTACTGTATTTCTTCTTTGATAAGTGTTATTATACGATAATTTAAATTGGTTAATGGTTATCTACGAGATCTGTTAAAAATTTGAACAGATAGTTCGATCTATTAGGAAACGATGCATTTTTCATTGTTCTTACTTCTTGCATCAGAATCAATTAATTTTTAAGAAAACGCGGACTTAGCAAATTTTCACTCTGAGCTAACGATAGGAAAATATATTGTTATCTATCAGAGTCATTTCAGAAGTTATCTGCTTGCAAGAAACGATGACTAATGAATATCCTCGTTTCAATCACCTTTTTGTGTGCGACTCATACAAATACATATATGCATGTATAAGATTATAAGATATACATACATACATACTTAGGTGGTATAAGTCAATTTGAGTTAAGCAATTATTCAGAAACAATTTGATATATTTGGTCAAAACTAATCAACAATAGATGACTGTGTTTCCCATTGAGTGCAAGCTCATTGGTGTGGGTTGATTTAAAAGCCATTAGAAAATTATGAACGCCATATGTACATATGTATGTAACTTAATACTAACACACATTTGAAGTATTAAACAATGCACACATTTATTGCATTGTATGTATGTATGTATATACGAGTGTGCATAGACATACATACATATGGAAGCATCAAATGCCTGTGCGGGATTTTAATGTTGCAATTAAATCAGAATGATTGACAGCAGTGACCAGACACCGACATCCATCATGCTCAATGATATTGTTGTTGTTACTAACTATTTATATGTATGTATGTATGTATATGCGATTATTCAGAAATTTGGGAAATGAGCATGCAATGTCGTAAAACTAATAGCTTATTAATGCGGGCAATTCCATTAAATACTCGACCAAAAATACAAGTCATGCATGCAATTCGAATTCCTGCTCTTTTTTTATAAAATAAATTTTCGTGGCAGCAAAAAGCTTAAAGCCGTTTAACGTCCGCAAAGAAACATAATTCAAAATTTTAAAGTGTCAACAGTCTTAAGTTTTGTTTTATAATATATTTTGAAAATTTCGTTATGTAAGTGTTCTTTAAAATATTCTTCTAGATTGTGTTCTCCAAACACGAAAATTTACAGAGATCTGTTGACACGATTTTCTTCTTATAAATACATACATTTTTTTCTTATATTTTTTTTTGTCGACAAAAAATTAACATAACTTCCGCAAAGCCAAGAAGATACTAATTTCATATGGAGAATTTTAGAAAACCAACTAATTAATTTATTGCTTATCTTTGTTGTTGTTTTTTAAATATCCCTTGCATTAATTTTAAACACAGAAGATACGCTACCTGTTATTGGTTATACGCCTTTTGAGTTTACCTTTTTACGCGTTTATTTATCGATCTCAGAAATCAGCTTCCATAGTTCACAAGTAGTCAAGGGCACTTCCTCTCGCTCGATTCTTTCCCTTTACGCCATCGTGCACAATAGCAGCCAATCGTATCATTACCTAAGAGCAGCAACCACCGCCTGAAAAACACTACATTCATCTGCAAGTCTTAATTCAGGCGTTGAGGGAAAAGCTCCTTGAGTATCTTTTTTCACCCAAAGATGTGCCGATTCCACTTACATACATATACATATTCATCCATAGGTTGCATAGGTGATTTCAGTTGTAAGATTTATATGTATGGTAAGTTCCTTTCATGTCACTTATGGCTGAATGCACTGTGTTAGGGCAGTCAATAGCGATGAAACGACACAAAACTTGCATTAAAATCAATTGTTTGCTTTTTTCGATTGATTTAACTGTAGTGAATGCAGCAGCGAAATCAAATGAAGTGTGAGAATGAGAAGAAAACACAACAACCGTCCTAGAGGTTCTCATACGAACGTATTCCAAATATATGTATGTACATTGTTCAGACTTAGTTCAGGATACAAATCTTTATCATTGCTAACTTTGCCATCCAAAAATGCGAAAATAGTAGTTTAAAGAATAAATTGTTAAACTTTGATAACTTTGAATGAAGCGAAAAAAGGCAAGAAAAACTTAGTAAATTCTATGCAGAGAAATCTATTGATCTTTTATCAAAATATATATAAAGTTCAACGCTTATGTTAAAAATGTATGTACAAAACTTCAAATTTTCAAAGAAGCAAAATATTACTAAAAATTTTGAAACTCGCAGATTTTCCACTTTATTTTAAAATTCGGATATATGTATGTATGTATTTACCTATGTAATTTGTTACCATGGCCATCTCATCAACAAAAAAAAAAAGCCAATAACAATTTAACAACTTAAAGCTACGTTTTATTTCTAAGGTAAAAATCGAAATTTTAATACTCAAAATAGCCATTGTATAAGAATTTTGGCAGCAGCTCTCGCAATTCATTCAGTAGTCTAGGATCTTGCAATTGTCTCTTTTGTGCTTCTGCGTTTTCCACCAACTGGGCTAGATCGCCATTTTCATCAACAAATCCATAGCTGAATACCAAGAAGGATGTTATTAAGAATAGTCCTGTGAATACAAAAAAAAAAAAAAAAAATACATTCGAATTATAATTTGACATAGAAAACTGCATTAGGTTCAGATTGAAACGTACAAAAAAAAAGGGAAATGTGAATTATATTTTATTACAGAAAACTTTTAAATTAACAAGCTAATGAAAACATTTCCTTTAAGGTTTCACTTAAAATCACTCTAACGGCACATTTTGATTTTTTCTTATCCACCTCGGTGTACTTCTTGATGCCTTTGGATTATTTTTATGTTAGATAGACTGAACTGGAACAAAACTACCACAAATTCCTTTTAGTACATTCAGATTCAGAGGAAAAAGATAAATTTTCGCAAACTAAAAACTTCTCCCTATGAATACTTCCTAGACAAATGGAAAAACTAAGAAATGTTCATAAACATATTTTTGTTTTTATGTTAAAATGCATTTCGTTTCGTTCGTCCGCGACCAGAAACTTTCATCCCAAGAGCAGACCAGTCTTTCTAGGCGCTCTTGCTTTCGTTGTCCATCCCCGGGTGCCGAGTCGAAGGATCTTTTGACTGAAGCCACGCCCTCCATCTCTACAGCATGCTCAAGGAGGCGAAATTTTTATAATTTTATGCGATCAACTATGTGCATGTCGCTAAAAAGCTCGTGCAGTTCGTCATTCTTGGTTAAGCGTTACCCACGCGATATTCTAGATCTTGCGTAGAACATGATAGTAGTGGGTCCCTGTTTCCTTGCCCTAAATCTTTTCCAGGAATGACGTACTAAATGTTGAACTTCGGCGCTGAATTCCAGCCGGCCTGAATCTTTGTGCTCCCTTCTGCCTCTCTTCTGTTCCTCTTCAAAATACTTCTCTCATCCCACCTCTAAGGTTGCCAGATTGGATTTTTCATCCTGAGATTCAGGTGTCTCCGATCGAATCTCGCGGCTCAGTGTTACCAACGAATTTCTCGGGGTTCGGGAAAAATTCGATAGTTTCATACAATTGGGTTTTTTTATGCATCAATTTAATTTTTACTGCAAAGAAACTTACATAGGTATGTATGTACTTATATGGTATCTACATTCCTGTTTCAACAATTTTTTTTTTCTGTAATGGGTACCTATCTAGGTACTTTTGTGCCTTTAACCCAGGAAAGTCATGCTTCGTCGAATCGATGACGCAATACTTGCTTGCAACTCGAATTTAAAATATTATATTTGCCATGTTAACTAAAAATTAGACATAATTAATTAATTTTTTGTTTTTCCTTGATGTTTTCATATAGGCTGTGACATTCCAGGGTTGAGTTAAAGCTTGGTCAAGAAATGTCATAATTATTATTCTGTTTTTCAATTTCTTGGTCTGGCCATCTGAAAAGGTGGTATGCGGCATACTTCTCTGTAGCCGCGTCGTGGAATACTGCATTCGACTGCTAATTTGTATCTATCCGGACGATGAGGAATATCCAATTTTTGCAGGACTGAGCACGAGTGCGAAACTTTCGACTGCAACCTTTCGACGTCGAAGTCTCATTGCCCTGCCAGATGGATGGAATATATGTACGTATGTCAATAATACTCGGGCTATCACAGCGACATCTCTTTGGTTTTTCGTGCAATTGGGTCCGGTCGTTCATTGGCTATGCTGTTACAGTTACAAGACTATACTCAGTCCTGACCCTAGCGTCTCCGTAAGCGCAATCTGGACAACGTAAGCTACTCATTTTCGAAATGTGATAATCAACACGTGTCAGAGTCTCGAGCCACAACCGAAAGAGAAGAATTTTTAACGCAGCTACCCAGACTTCTTGCCGTTTTTGCAGTAGGGAGTTAACTCAAATTTGGCAGTTAACTTTCAATTTTTGTATTGAATACCTGTAGTAAACTCGTCACTGTAAAAACGGCCCTTAGTCGGTTCAAATGAGTCTGAAATGGTTAATCTTGCATGTTATATATGTACATAAGAATTGCTACTTTTTCTTTCCCACAATCACATATAGGATGGCGGATAAAATTACTTCAGGTACAAAATCCTAAAGTAAGCAAAACTTTTCTAACAACATAAGAACTAACTCCAAAGGAGAATTATATTCAACTAATACATATGGCGATGCCTCCTCAACTTCCACTTACCCCAATATCTGTGCTTTTGCAGTTCCTGCCGAAATTCGGTGTTTGTTGGTATGCGGCCTTTATATTCAGTTTTGCGTAGTGTCTCCTGAAAACTCGTTATGTAATAGTACAACAGTTCGTCATGATGATTGCGACGCATTTCCGGACTGAACATCATGGTGAATGCATAATGCAGATCAAGTGCTGGCGAAGCAAAAACGCTAATTTGATAGTCAAGCTGCGTGGACAAAAAAAAAGACGAAAAGTTCCGTTTACGAAAATTCTTTGCTATTTTCCCCAACTCGATGCATCCCTACCAGCATGAGATCCTTCAATTCGCCATCCACATTGCAGATCATCATATTCTTGTTATGAAAATCGCCATGGTTTAGCACAAAGATGCCATCGCATTTGCCATTACGGTTCTCATTAAACATATCGATGATCTTGGGCAGCAGCGTGTGTTCGACGGATTCAATGTGGGGCACGTATTTGCGCAGATCGCCGTGTTCGCTTAAAACCTCTTTGAGTAATTTACTCGCATTTTTGATGAAATCAAAGTTATTGGGGTCCATGGAGTTCATAGAGCCCTTATTCATGGTGGCGAAAATGTTGTTTTTCTAATAAAAAAGTCATATAAATTTTAAGCGCTTAAATATCACAAAAGTACCTAGTAAGTTTTATTTTAATTTATGAGCGCCTGGTGAGTACTCGTACTCAAGCGATTAGCTCTTATCACTGTTACATCAAGTTTTATTTGGATTCAGTGTGGCCAGGTCATTGAAGTGAGAAATCGTCCGTTTGGCTTTCAAAAATCGTCATTTGCGTGTTAAAATCGTCAACATATAAAAAATTTTAATAAACAGACCCAAATAAATAAAATAAAAAATAAATAAAAAGTTGAACTTTTTACGAATTTTTAAAATGCGCATTACTTTTAACAAAAACATTTTTAATTGCACACATTTTAATTTTCGTTTTTTTTTTTTTTTTTGAACTGCAACTTAACGATGTGCATTAAAAACTGTTCATACTTACAAGCTTTGAAAAATGATTTATTCATAATTCCCTTCGCTCAATAAAATATGTAGCAGTACACAACGTCAAAACGCAAAAATTACGAATTCGACCGCCAAAAACTACACAAAATAGTGATGGAACAGAGAAGAAAACTACTCATCGATAACTACTATTAGTGCTGCCACATGATATAATTACGACAATTACGTATTAGCAGAAATGGTAAACTGCAATTTCTAGTTGTTTCTATCTTCAAAGTTGTGAACCAGCCAAATCTGCACATAAATAAAAATCGTCGTTGGGTCACAAAACTCGTCAAACTGTCATGGCAGTAAAAAATCTTCAAAATGACGACCAAATAACCAACCTGGCAACACTGTTTCACAGCTGCCATTTTTTTGTTACACTCACCTCTTGGCTCAACTTGTAGCTAATGGCGTGCAGCTTTGCCAGTTTGAGCAGCGCTGCTTTCACTTCCGTTAGACTCGCGTGTCGATAGCCGGTTGTGGTGTAGCCTTTCAGCGCCAAATCTTCGAAAACCACATACGCGGGCCAGTTGTTGCTGAAGGCGATAAGCCTTATTGATGCGCCAAAGGAAATTAGAACATATTTTAAATTAAATTTTCCTAGTTCCTTTTTTTTTGCTTCTAATTTTTCCAACTCACTTTGGCCCCAAAATGGTTTCGTCGCCATATTGCCGTAGCTCACGCTCAATTACAGGCAGCACTTCCGTGTACATACGAATTTCAGTTGTGAAAGTGTGCAGTTCACTGAGTAAATCCTTTTTGGTGCCATCTGCAAACGGCTGAACTTTCAAAATAAACGAATTTCTCTTTTCCACAGTTGGCTGCGAGTCCACGCTGTAGCTAACTTTGGCGCGAAACATAACACTTGCATAGTGATCGTTCTTCAGTGTGCCAGGCCTGAGCTCCAAATCGGTAACCTGATCATAAATGTAATGCATAGATATTAAAATGTGTGCAAATGGTGTTGCCAGCACACCTTCACCTTCACATTATCACTTTCCTCGCTCTTGAGTATTTTCTCGAAAAATTCTTTATTCAACCAGTCTGGCGGATTAAGCTCATCCTCATTGTACAAGTCTTTATTGACCATTTTTATAATTCTTTCAAGTGAAAAATAGCTCAATTATCAATATTCGCACACTTTACACCCACCACAGTTTAGTTGATGCGAAGCAAATTTGTAAGTGCAAAGCGCACTCTTTTATAGGTACCCGGGGACGTTTAGAATTAGAATGCTGAGCGTTGGAATTCGTAGCGCTTCACATAAACTACCGTTTGAGTTTCTTATCAGACTGCATTACAACCTCTATTGTTGTTTTATGTAATACTCGTAGCTATTACAATTGCATGCGGTTTGCTAATTGATTAAGGTATTTCTCATACAAAAGTACACGCACGAGTACCAGCAATAGGGGGTTGCATCACAGAAATTATCAGCAGCTAAATTGTAAAATATATAGTTTTTATGCAATTTTTAATGGCTTGGCGAATATGCCAGTTATAAACATGCGATCGCAAAGTCATACTAGAGAAGATACCCAGCGAGGAAAATATGACGGCATCAAAAAAAAAAAAAACGAAAAAATATTGATTCAGCACTTTGGTTCAGGTCAACTTTGGGGGATTAGTGCCGGAATACTCTGACGAAGTTAAATATCTTGGATTATACTTGATGGGAGCCTATCATGAAATTCCCATCTATAAAATGTACTGTGAGGAAAATACGTGTTGCGAGAAAATTGATTTAGCAAACTTTTTATCATTGCAGTTATGTAATGAAGTGATAAAAACCCTCTATTTTCGAAAAAAAGTATTCATCTCTGAAGCGATATCTTAGAGTAGCATCTACTCTGTCCGTTCTTTAGTCAGATGCTACCATCAGCAGCACTTAGAGGATTTGAAGATTGAATTTGAAACGCTTCAGAATTAATGTAGGATAAAGTCACAGTGAGTTTCTCTAAAATATTCACAATATTTATTTTTTATCAAAAATATTTATGTTTAATTTTTAGTATTCTCTTCTTTGGTAGAACCTACCAAAAAAATTAACTCATTACACAACTACCTATGTATATCATTATTGAATTATATATCGACATGATTACTGGTATTCATCTAATTTGCTTTGCATGCATGTATTTTTTGGGTTTTGGCCAAATCTTGCAATTAATTTTTAAGCAATTTCCCAATGAGCTAGAGACTTAAAATTTCGAGCTGAGCTTAATATCCGATGGCAGTGATGGTTTATGATATTTGGAAGTCCGATTTGGTTCATATTTACAAAGCTTGCTTTAAATATATTATATTATTCATCAGTGGCGGATCCAGCAGGGGGGATTTGGGGGTTAACCTACGTGTCAGTCAGTGGCGGACCCACGGGGGGAGTTTTAATATGGGGCATATGTGTGTTTAATATGGCGTCTATGTATTAAAACCCCCCGTGGGTCCTCCACTGACTGGATCCGCCACTGTTATTCATCAGTATATTCATTATTTTTGTTATCAGAGCGTTCATCGGCATTGTTGCTGCTGTACATTTAAGCTTCGCTGTAAGCTCAGCGGCATTGTTTTCGTTTTATTTATTACTATTGTAGAAGCGTACCGGAACAAGTGATTTTTTACCAGTAAAATCACAGATGCGGTGCACAACGAATCTCTTTTATAAGATATCGCGGCATAACATCACCAGCTGCTTTTGTAGAAAAAATACATTTAAATCCATCTTGTTTTGAAATTCATACGAAGCTCTATGTCCAAACACTGGCGGATTTTTCTACAGGGTACTTATAAATTCATCTCAAGATATGTATCTACATTGTACTGTTGCATGTTGCTTCAAGTAGTTTCTCATTGTGAGCAGTGTTGCCAGGACTTCAAAAATAAAAAAAAAGCTAGATCGGCCAAATAAAAAAGCTAAATGGCCCAAAAAAAGGTTAAAAAAAGGCCAGCCTTTTCAACATTTTATTAACTCTTATTTACAAAGAGGTGGTACAAATGTGCAAATATTTTTTAATCTTATACCGTTTAATAAGACAATTTTTTAGGGTTTGAAAAACTTTAGTCCTTAAACACAAAGTAGTGGTACATTTGTACCACCAAATATCTTCGTACACTACAATATTTCAATTGGATCGCGAACAGTAAAAAGCAAAGCGTATCTCGACTTCTATTTGCCAAACTGTTTAACTGTTTAACACGACACGGATGCTTCAAAGCATACGTTCACCGATTCAAACACGAGCCGGAACCCATATGCGACTACTGCGGAGGAATAGAAGACGTCTATTTTGAGTGTATGCGATTTGATGCAATCTTCACAACATATCTGGCGAGAGTTTCGCGCCTGAGTCACTCGTGGAGGCTATGCTATATAGCAGCGAAAGTTCTACGAAATAACAAACTTTTTCTGGCTTTACAGGAACACTTGCGAACTCCTAAAAAACTGTTAAAGTATAAACAGAACGAGTTCGCTGAGTAAATTTCGTCGGATGGAGCGATGTCGCCGGGTAATATTCGCTTAACATGTCGTCAAGTAAAACTGAGCCGGAACAATAATTAAGTGCCACTACAAATATTGTGGAGGATTATCCTTAAAAAATGCTAGTTTGAAAATAAGAAAGGGCAAGAAAAAAGCCACGAAGCTAAATCCTAAATTTCGAAGCTAAACGACAAAGAAAAAAGCTAGATCTAGCCTCAACAAGGCGAAACTGGCAACACTGATCGTAAGCATTGTCAACGCAGGTAATATATTTGTACACGTTCATATCGTACACTCGAACAAGCAGATTATATTGTGCTTTAATATTTAGCTGATGTTTGTCTAATTATATAGACAACAAATAAAATGTACAAATGTATGTGAGTATGTATGTGCATGTATAATAATTAATTATAATTATATGTAGTATCAAGGCGATGAACGTTTCCCCGGCATTTGCCAAGTGAATATGGTTATTTGCCACTAGAAAGTTATTCTGCTTCATTTGGTTGCTTGATTGCGTGTCCCGTTATCCATTTGAATCGCGGATATTACTATTATATTGAACAAATATGCCTGCTTGTAAGAAGTGTGTAATAGCAATCTGTAGGACTCCGACACCATTTTAGGAGTAAATATAACGGAACAAGTTTCTTCTAACAGTGCACAGTGGTTCAAAACTGGCATTTGGTGTTCACAATTCACTGGAGCCTTCAACTTTTACTCAATTTGATTAATTTTGTTTTAAATGAAAGCTAATCACACGCTCATTCAGTTAGACTTACGCAAGATACAACACTGGTATTCACCGAATTGAGCAAGTAGCCTGGCACTCTTGTCAACAATCGTTGCTTGTGCTGATTTGCTCTTTTGCCAGAGTGCCAGGCCACTTGCTCGCTTTGGTGAATACCACTAATGAATACACAGAAGCGCGAATTCCACTAATAATTAATAAAACTATTAGTTATCACATGTATGTATGTGTGCAAAGAATCGTAAAACAAAAGCTCCTTTCAGGTAAGAATAATAATACCACATTCATGTTTACTAAATTTATTGTTATATGCTAGAGTGACTGAGATTATAATTTTATATTGCATCTAAACAAGCTTTTGCATTCATATTTTGATGGTGTAAATTTTAATCTTTCTGATTTTATTAGTTGTTATATTACAACATTTCACAATGAGTGTCAATAATGGAAAACAATAATTTAAGAATAAAATTCTAATCCTACACAATGCTATTTATTTAGAACTAGTGTTCGCCCAGCGGTTTAAATTCAACCATTAAAATTAAGGGGAGTTGACGTAGACTGAGCTGAGCGGAGTTGAGTTTAGTTGAGTTCATTGAAGTGAATTGAGGTGAAATGCATTGAACAACATAGTAGAATATAACATAACGTAACATAACACAACACAATACGACACATCACAACACAACACAACAAAACACATCCCAGCACAATACAATACAAAATAATTCAACACAACATAACATAACATAACTTAACATAACGTAACATAGCATAACACAACATAACTTAACATGACAAAACATTACATAACATAACATAACATAAAATAAACGCGCCACAATACAAAACCGCAAAATACAACACAACACATCACAACGCAAAACAACCCTGCAGTCAAAAGCCAAACCATTTAGAAAAAATACTAGTTCATTAAGTAGTATGTGCCGACCAGTTCGACAATTTCGAAGAACTTAGGCGCTCAGCGACATCTGCCTTTGAATTGCCAAAGCCAAAAATAAAACGCAATTAATTGCTTTTCTTACAAATGTCGGCTGTGGCGTCACGTGAAGACTACTGGTTGTGGTTCTGAAATCGCAGCTTCGAGGCCGCTTGGAGGTGGTTAAGATTTTTAAAGTTTAATAAATGTAAGTAAAAGTAATTTATTCAATTTATAAATAAATAACAAATTTGAAAATCTAATTGCATTGAAAAAAAAACATTTAGGAAGAAATGCTTGTGCTATAAAAACAAAGAAATTAAACAAAAATATTTTTTTTATTAAATTTAAAAATTACAATAAACAGCCTAAATAAAAGAATAAATTTATAAAAAATAAAAATAAAATAAAAAATAGAAAATAAAAAAATTTGCCCTGCGCCAGGATTTGAACCTGGGACCTCAGGCTTGCCACGCGAGTGCTTTGCTCTGTCGGCCATTGTGACTGCAGGAGCGTCGCGAGCAAAAAGGCACACTTATGCTTTTCACGGGGCATGAATTTGCAGACTATCTCATCAACTGGTATGATGCTACTAGTATTTATACTAGTAGATGCTGATGCATAGCCTGACAATTGACATCTCGTAGGACATCGCAATGTTAAAAATACCAGTCGCTAACATTGAAAAAGGATAGAACATGAACTAGTTCGGCTGAAACGCAAACCGGTAGAATTGTAGTTCACAACTAGTAGCTTTCCCTGCAGGGAATACAGCAAAACGCAATAAAAAACAATACCACGCAATACAACATAAAATGTGATTCTTCAATTTTATCATTTCCTTTTTTTGTCCCTACCTTTATCTCTATTCTTGTCTCTGCCGTTTTTTATCTTTTCATTTTTATATTTATCACTTCCTTGACTTTTATCCAGACATTTATCTATATCCCCTTTTTATCTAAATATTCACCCACACCTTTCCTATTATATAAGCATTTAAATTTACCTTCCTCTTTGTCTTTATGTTTAGGTTTCTTTAAGTATATT